CTGGCTGCTCCAGCAGGTCGGGGGGGCTTGTGAAACATCCAGCCCCACGGAAATTGTGAATGTTGCGGTTTTTGTTTTTAAAGTGTTGTCTTTGTCCAGTTTTCCCCTTCCCTTGTCTATTGTGAGCCGCCCGGAGTCCTTCGGGAGTGGGCGGCATACAAGACAAATAAATACAAATACAATACAATAATACTTACCAAAATTGGATCTTGAATTTAATCCCAGTGCCCCAGCTAAAAAGTGTTATGGGTAACAGCTTCCTGTTTTGTGTAACACAAACGCTTTCCTTTTGTCGCACAGGTTGGCCTTTTCCGAAAATCTGGAGTCAAGTCCAGAATCCAGGCCTTACGACAAATGAATGAGAATGCAATAGGCAAAGTGAATTACGAAGGCCAGTCTGCTTACGATGTGGCTGACATGCTCAAACAATATTTCCGCAACCTGTCAGAACCTCTGATGACCAACAAGCTTTCAGAGACCTTCTTACAGATCTACCAGTGTAAGTCGCTCGTGTTCATAGTTTCATTCATTCCAGGGGTGGGTTTGGAACAGGGCCGGCGGCGTCCTCGTGCACGTGCGCGGTGCACACATGCGTACTAGCGTCTGCGATGCTCCAGCTGCTCCTGGAGGATCGCGCAGGCGCTGTATGCATCCTGCACATGCATGGAAGTGCAGAACTCGTCAAAACCGGGTAAGGAGTGCGGGCGAGCGGGTTGGCCCTTCGCCGTTCCCGGAAGTTACTTACTTCCGGGTTCGCCGACCAACCGGTTCGCAGGGACCGCTGCGAACCGGTTGAAACCCACCCCTGAGTCATTCCCAAATACTCAGCTTTTCCTCTGGCCCAGACAGAGGAATTATTTTTAATATAAGTTGTAGTTGCATTGATTTCTATGCGTTTTACTTATATGCATTTTGTTTGAATATAAACATTGCCCAGAGTCACTAGGTGAGATGGGCAACTGTGATAAATGAATAAATCCAGATAAGGTCAGCCAGTGCTGCTGTTTTTAATAGGGAGCTGAGATTTAATCCATTGATTGATGGAGGCATTATCATTTCCAGAATCTACCTTTCTGTGGATTTATGTTCCCCTCTCTAAGAATTTCCCACCTCCAAGAAGACTTTACTACGGTAGTTTGTGACTATTGCATTTTGGGAGTATCTTTCCTTTAGTGTACCAAAGTGTACCAAAATATATCAGCTTTTCTTCCAACTTTATTCCCTTTTACCAAATTTTATGCAGTAAGATAAAGGTTCCCCTCGCACATATGTGCTAGTCATTCATGACTCTAGGGGGCAGTGCTCATTTCATTTTCAAAGCCCAAGAGCCAGCACTGTGGAACGATCTACCCCTAGAGATCCGGACCCTTACCACTCTCCCGGCCTTCCGTAAAGCCACTAAGACCTGGCTGTTCC